GTACAGCAGGGGAGTTGAAGTCCACACATCTTAAAGTTGCCAAGGTTGAGAAACACTGCATTAGTATGATTGCTCACCATAACCTGAAGAGAACAGGACAAAAGTTGGTGTTGGGGGAAAAGCTGATGAAAGAAAGACTGACTTTTGAAAGTAGGCTGGATCCCGTCAGGGGCTGCAGAGGAAATATTCCTGAAAAATATATCCCAGTGCATTGGGGCAAGAACCTGGAATATGGTGATTGCTCCATAGTAAACCCCTTTTCCTCCTCCATTCTGGCCATATGACTCAGAGTGGACCTCGTATGCTCCAAAAGCCCTCCTAGGTATGCTTTCCCAACCCACTGGAAATGTTGGAAATATATTATGGAAGGGGGCTTGGGACTTTGTAGGGCTCTCTGTCAGCAAGATAATTCTCCAAAATGGGAACAGAACGGTTTCAATGGTCCCTTCTTTGCTTTTGAAGGTCTTGGTTGTGACAAAACCCGGCATGGAGTTACTCTGCGGGAGTGGAACGATCCCTTGGATCCTGACTTGGAAGCTCAGCTGATATTCCGGCATCTGCTTGCAATTCAAGAACTAATGAGGTGATCAGACTGGCCATACCTTCCTTACCCAGTGCTGAAATACTCTTGTAGAATGGGGGTACATTGCTTTTTAATTCATTATGGGCCTGGATGCTGCTCCCCAAGTAATTTAAAAGAAGGCTATGTGGTTGCTAAGAGTTAACACCAACTTGGTGGCATGTCATCATCCCTCTGAATTGCATTTAGGGCATTGAGGCTATGACTTCAGGCAGCCCAAAGTTAAACTGTCTTGCCCCCAAGATTTGTAAAAGAAAAAGCAGTTAGAGTTAAAATCTCATGGAGAGATGCTATGTAGAGATGCTATTGATGAGCAGGCAAATAAAATGTTGCCTGCCTTTCAGTGAAAGCCATTCCAAAGTGGGCTACAATCAAACCAACTGAGAGAAACATTTGAAGATGATAAAAATTAAAACCTTAAAACAGTGTTTCTCAAGCTTGGCAACTTTAAGACGGGTGGACTTCAACTCCCAGAATTCCCCAGCCAGCATGG